GACGTTGGATCGAACTCTAGTGTTGTCGAAGTTTGTTCGCAAGTAATGCGTGTTGTAGTCGAAGTTTATTCTAACATGCATTAGTCAATATTGCTAGGGTTGTTAGCATGTTGAATTGGGCCTTACTTGTAAGTCCAATTGTTTAAGTTAGCTTGTAATGGGTAATTGTTAAAAAGCCCATTAGGTTAGTGTGCTATTTTATTATAAATAGGATGCTAGTTTCTCAATCTTGAAAAATAAGGAAAAATAGGAAGATAAAATCCTAATTTCAAGGGAGAGAGGTTATTTTGTTATTCTTGTATACTTGTAATCTTGTTCTAAGAGAAAGGAAAGAATAACAGTTTAATAACCAATCCTTGTTGTTCCTTGTTGTTTTACCTTATTTTCTTTGTTAACCCTAACCCTTGTGAGTTTATTGATCATTAAGAAACCGTTTATACTTTGTTTAAAGGTATCTGATTCACAACAAATTGGTGCAGTGAGCGTGGAGAAGATGCCTTCAACAAAGTATGAGATTGAAAAGTTCACCGGAGTGAACGACTTCGGTCTGTGGCGCTTGAAGATGAAAGCCCTATTGGTTTAGCAGGGCTGTTTGGAAGCGTTGAAGGGTGAGGCAGCCATGGACGCTGCGTTAACGGCAAAAGAAAATACGGGCATGATCGAGAAAGCCCACATCGCAATATTGTTGAGCCTTGGTGATAAGGTTCTTCGACAGGTATCAAAGGAGACTACAGCATCGGGATTATGGGTGAAACTTGAAAGTTTGCACATGACAAAATCTCTGGTGAATCGACTCTACCTGAAGCAAGCTTTATATTCATTCAAGATGAGTGAAGATAAAGTGTTGGCTGAGCAGTTGGATATGTTCAACAAGCTGATTCTTGATCTTGAAAATATTGATGTGAAGATCGATGATGAAGATCAAGCACTGTTGCTGTTGTGTGCTTTGCCCAAAACACATGCTCACTTCAAAGAAACTCTCTTGTATGGAAGGGAGTCCCTGACCTTTGAAGAAGTTCAATCAGCCTTGTATTCTAAGGACTTGAACAAACAAAAGGAGCATAAACCTTCGACGGTGGGCGAAGGTTTGGCCGTTAAGGGAAAATTCTTGCGAAAGGATGGTAAGTTCGACAAGAAGAAAGGTAAAAGTCAACAGAAGTCTTATAGTGGCGAAACATCTAGTATTCAATGTTATCACTGTAAGAAGGAGGGCCACATAAGAAAGGTGTGCCCTGAACGCCTGAAAGATCATGTAGGTAATGGCAATGCATCCATTGTTCAAGATGACTTCGACTCATCTGATGTTCTTGTGATTTCAAGTGGCGACTCGAGGAAAGAATGAATTATGGATTCAGGTTGCACTTGGCACTTAACTCCAAACAGAGAATTGTTCGAGGAGCTATGTGATCAAGATGGTGGATCTGTGCTGCTAGGAAACAACAAATCTTGCAAAATTGCAGGTATTGGATCTGTGATATTCAAGCTCCATGATGAGTCAATAAAGTTATTGACTGAAGTCAGGTATGTGCCTGACTTGAAGAGAAATTTGATTTCTCTTGGTGAATTCGACAGAAAAGGATATGTTTTTCAAGGAGAGAAAAGTATCCTAAGAGTCATGAAGGGGTCAAAGGAAGTCTTGAGAGGCGTGAAGAAACAAGGCTTGTATACCCTTGAGGCTGAGGTTGTAAGTGGTTCGACAAATGTTGCATCCATGAAATCTATGTCGAAGACAGAATTATGGCACATGAGATTGGGCCATGTCAGCGAAAGAGGCCTGGTCGAATTGGGGAAGCAGAACCTGCTAGGAGGTGACAAAGTCGAAAAGTTAGAATTTTGTGAATCTTGTGTATTTGGTAAATCCTGTAGGGAGAAGTTTAACAAAGGCAAGCAAAGAACACATGGATCCCTGGATTACATTCATGCTGATCTTTGGGGGCCTGCAAGGAATCCTTCACACTCAGGTGCAAGGTATTTTCTATCCATCGTTGATGACTATTCCAGAAATCTATAGGTATTCATTCAGAAGACGAAGGATGAAACTTTTGAGAATTTCAAAAGTTGGAAGATTCTAGTCGAAACTCAGACTGACAGAAAGGTTAAGAGATTGAGTACCGACAATGGCCTTGAATTCTGCAAAGAAGCTTTCGACAGTTACTGTGTTGGGTCTGGGATTGCAAGGCATAAGACTGTAGCAGGTACTCCTCAACAAAATGGCTTAGCTGAGAGATTCAATCGAACAATCCTTGAAAGGGTTAGATGCATGTTGGTTAATGCTGGATTGAAGAAGGTGTTTTGGGCGGAAGCTGTTTTGACAGCAGCTTACCTGATAAATAGATGTCCCTCGACTGCCTTGAGAATGAAGACACCTAAAGAAGTTTGGTCGGGACATCCACCTAGTCTCGATAGACTGAGAGTATTTGGTTGTGTGGCCTATGCTCATATTAGGCAAGACAAGGTCGAACCTAGAGCTCTGAAGTGCATGTTCATGGGATACCCTGAAGGAGTCAAAGCTTATAGGCTATGGTGCCTAGAGCCAGGTCACAGAAGGTGTATCACCAGTCGAGATGTAGTTTTCAATGTAGCAGAGATGGCTTTTAAGAAAACTGATGTTGCTGACGAAGAGCTGGAACATGAAGAGATTCCTGTTGAGGTGGAGCATGTTGATGCTGAATTGCTTACCCCAGATGAAGTCGAAGAAGACGCAAAAGATGTTGTCGAAGATGAGGAGACTGATAATGACTACCTGCTAGCAAGAGACAGGTCAAGGAGAGTTATCAAGCCACCTCAGAGACTTGGGTATGCAGATCTTATAACTTACGTCTTAATCTCTGCTAGTGAGGTTCTAGATGAAGAACCTAGAGACTATAAGGAAGTTATGAGTAGTCGAAAGAAGACTGAATGGCTGAAGGCCATGGATGATGAGATGAAATCTCTTCATGATAACAACACCTGGGAACTGATCAAGAAACCTGTTGGAGCCAGGTTAGTCAGCTGTAAGTGGATTTTAAGGTACATAAATGGGTCTCTGAATAGAGTCCTAATTTATGGTGGAGCCTTGGGTGAAGATAGTAAAGCAGCAATTGAAGGATATGTCGACTCTGATTATGCAGGTTGTATGGATTCCAGAAAATCTATCTCTGGATATGTGTTCACTATGTTTGGGACAATAATCAGTTGGAAAGCAACACTTCAGAAGGTCGTTGCCTTATCAAACACTGAAGCGGAGTATATTGCCCTAACTGAAGCTGTGAAGGAAGCATTGTGGCTTGAAGGTTTTGCAAAGGAGCTAAAACTTCAAGGTCGAGTTATCACTGTTAAATGTGATAGTCAAAATGCAATACACCTGTCGAAGAATTCAGCCTATCATGAGCGAACCAAGCACATTGATGTGAGGCTGCATTTCATCAGAGGGGTAATCGAGCGTGGAGAAGTCCAAGTGCTGAAGGTTTCGACAGATCATAATGCTGCTGATATGATCACCAAGACGTTGCCCAGTTGCAAGTTTTTCCACTGTATGCAGTTAATAAAGCTGCATGAAGAAAGCTAGTTTCTTGATGTTATAGAGTTAGATCCAAGGTGGAGATTTGTGAGACGTTGGATCGAACTCTAGTGTTGTCAAAGTCTGATCGCAAGTAATGCGCGTTGTAGTCGAAGTTTGTTCTAACATGCATTAGTCAATATTGCTAGGGTTGTTAGCATGTTGAATTGGGTCTTACTTGTAAGTCCAATTGTTTAAGTTAGCTTGTACCCTAAGTTAGCTTGTAATGGGTAATTGTTAAAAAACCCATTAAGTTAGTGTGCTATTTTATTATAAATAGGATACTAGTTTCTCAATCTTGAAACATAAGGAAAAATAAGAAGATAAAATCCTAATTTCAAGTGAGAGAGATTATTTTGTTATTCTTGTATACTTGTAATCTTGTTCTAAGAGAAAGGAAAGAATAGCAATTTAATAACCAATCCTTGTTGTTCCTTATTGTTTTACCTTGTTTTCTTTGTTAACCTTAACCCTTGTGAGTTTCTTGATCATTAAAAAACCGTTTATACTTTGTTTAAAGGTATCTGATTCACAACACGTAAGGATTAAATAAAAGTAAATTTTAGTTTCCCAGTACGTATTTTTTTATCACAATTTTCCTTCAATATCAACATTGTTATATTCTAAGATTATTATATTGCATCACTTTTTCCCACAATATCAACATGTGCTATATTGCATCACTTTTTAGATTCTGAATCAAGAGTTAATCGTTACAAGTGGTATCCATCCTATCAGTGACCATGTCCATTAGTAAAGATTGAACTAAAAGAAATTTTAATTTTTTTGTACTATTTTGCTCAGAATTTCCCTTGAATATCAACATGTTCTATATTTCAATACTATATTATATGAATGTTGACTTGTTTGTTTTTGCTTTTGTACTAAAATATAATTTTAATTTTAATTTTTGTATTGAATATTTCTACGATTATTAGATAAATTCTAACACAAATTTGACGTAGCTGTAAATTAGTTGTATGCAATTGGCCTGGAAATTTTATTTTTTCTTGATCAATAAGCACAGAACTTGACAACTTAGAACTTGAAGTGTAGTCTACACGAATTGGAAGTAGCTACAAAATTGAGGCAGGCTTTGTTACATTGACCAACAAAAAATGAAATTCCATTCATGTTTAATAATTATGCTGTCTCTTTCAACACCTAAATGGAAGTCTTTACTTAGTAATCTCCACCAAGATTCGCCTTATTAGCACATAAACTTATTTATCATCACTAAAATAAAGTCTCATGTCAATTGAATTGGTTTTGGTTATTCATAGTTGAAAGAAATAACAAAAAAGTTCTCCTATTTAGATATTAATTATCAATAGCTGTATATATTTTTGTACCTATCTATCATCCTCTTTCTCATTGTCAATATGTAACTAACTACACAAGAAATAGTCACACTCACTTCTCTTAATAAGCCAAGTTCTTGAGTTCAACTCTTCATATCACAATGCATGAATATGAATACCCTTGTTGTGAATCTAGTTTCTGGTTATTTCTAATTATATGTCTAGTGATTGTGTCATTGGCAGGCATTACATCAGGCCTAGCATTAGGAATATTGTCATACAGTCCGGTTGATCTCGAGGTTCTCGTTAAAGCAGGCAGACCAAGAGACAAAAAGAATGCAGAAAGGATTCAACCTTTTGTAAAAAATGGACATTTTGTTTTATGTACTCTTCTTCTTGGAAAATCATTGGCTATGGAGGTATACATTTTTTTTAATAGGCTCATTATATTTACATCATTGACTAAGAAACTGATCTAAAATGTTTATGTTGAAGGCACTGCCAATTTTTATGGACTTAATCATTCCATCATGGTTTACTATTCTCATGTCAGCACCATTGGTGACTGTATTTGCAGAGGTAATGTTTGTTTTTCAAATCAATAAATAAAAAAATAATCAAGTTTGTTTTTGAATTAATAACTTATATGATACGTACATGTGATTTCAGATTTTACCTCAAGCTGTTTGCTCTAGATATGGACTTACTTTTGGAGCAAAATTGGCTCCCTTTACTCATTTTCTTCTGCTCATCTTCTTTCCAATAACTTATCCAGCAAGTAAGGTAAATAATACATAACACTGACACATAGATATCAGTAATATCTTAGAAAATGAAAGTGGTTGAATGTAATAATGTGTATTGGTGTTATGTCGTGTTGGAAGTAGAGAATTCATTTTATGTGTCTTAACAGGTTTCTCAACAAAGATTAATTATTTTAAGCGAAAGTGGATACTTTGTACTGATAACATGATTATAAAAAAAAAGTTATACCTCAAAGTGTTTTTCCATTTCGCAGGTCCTTGATTGGGCTCTAGGGAAAGAACATTCAGTTCTTCTAAGAAGATCAGAGTTGAAGACATTTGTGGACTTACACGCAGATCAGGTTTTCCCCTTAATATATTATTCTATTTGGATTAAGGCTATGATAGAATTGACTTATTTAAGTTTATCTACTGTTATATGTTTTGTGACACTGTTTGCTTATAAAAAAGCTAGTAGCTAAAACATTCTTATGCAGGCAGGGAAAGGTGGAGAATTATCTCATCATGAAACTTCTATAATCACAGGTGCTATGGATTTGACTCAAAAGACAGCTATAGATGCAATGACACACATATCTGAAATTTTTTCTCTTGACATAAATTCCAAACTAGACATGTAATAATAATATGTCATAACTCTTAACTTTGAAGTCAATTACATCAATTTTCAATAAAATCTCTTATATGAGTAAATGAAATTTATTTTTGTCATCAGGCACACAATGACACAAATAATGAGTAAAGGTCACAGCAGAGTTCCTATACATTCTGGCAACCCAAGAAATATTATTGGTCTCATCTTGGTAAGCATATAGCTTTTAAAGCATAAGCTTCGAATGACAAAAGTAGAACTATTTAATAATGGTCATTCTTTCACGGGCAAACTCATCTTTTATCGGTTAATTTATTCGCTATTTTTTTTGTCTAGGTTAAGAATTTAATCTTCTGCCGTCCGGAAGACGAGAGTCCAATTAAGAATTTGATTATCAGGAAAATTCCTAGGTAAGCCAAATGTTATATTATGTTCAATATATGTTATATTGCTAGTGATTTTTACAATGATATTAGAGTCTATCGAGATTAGTTACACTATTGGCTATCAAATTACTACTATCAGGTCACGCTTGAGATGTCGCGTCGTATACTAACTAGATGATTTATATCAGGGTATATGAAAGTTGGCCATTATATGAAATATTGAATCAATTCAAGAAGGGTCATAGCCATATGGCTGTTGTGTTGAAGGGAAACATGGAGACAGAAACCAATGAAGCAGCTCATGCTGTTGATTCACCTATATTTTTGAATATAATAACTAATAAGGAATCAAACCAAGCTCATATTAATGGAGGTAACCTTATATATATATATCATATATTCCATCATCAGTTTGATTACAAGTGTGCCATTAATGTTTGTGAATGTGGAATATGCAGAATCAAATTCTTCATATGTACTAGAAATGAGTGAGAGAAGTTCAAATCAAGAATCTAGTGATGTTGAATTTCATAGTCCAACATTAGAAAATGTGATGGTATTAGACAATGAAGTAGGACAAGAATCAAAGCAATGGGAGCATGAGATTGGATGTATGTCACATGAACAAATTGAAGCTGTTGGTATCATTACAATGGAAGATGTTATGGAGGAATTATTACAAGTAATTATTAAACTTTTTATATTCCTTTTTTTTTAAATGCTGAAATTTTGCCTCTTAAAAATGAATTACTGTGGTATTTCTGTATAGATACCATCTGAGTTAGTTAAACAAGATATTACATTTTATATATATATTAGTAATTAGCAAATGTTTTGTTAATCTTTTCTATAATCATGCATTTTGATACTCTTTTTATATTTATTTTTTGGTTTACAAGGGAGATATATTGGATGAGACCGATGAATATGTACATGTTCAAAAGAAGTGAGTAATTTTCTATTGTTGAATTATGTTTATTCATAATATTTTTGTTCTTACCCAAATAAAATAATAATAAATTATTTACTTTAATTTTTTGTTATTTTCAGCATTAAAATTAACCTGAGGCAATCTCACCGATCACAATCAAGATCATCAAGAAGAAATTTTGGATCTAGTCGTCGTTGAATAGCTTTTTATCAAAAATGTTATCAATGAGTTCAAATTCAAAATCTTTGATAAAATTACAGAAATCTAGAATTTTTAATTAAGCTTAAAGATATCTTTTTACTATTTCAACCAATTATTTTTGCATATTTAGAAACTATTAGAAGTAATTCATATTAGTAGTACTATTTTCTTAGCCCCTAAATTTGTTAGAGGGTATTTTAGTATTTTATTTTATTCTAGTAACCCTAGTTTTTAGCTTATAAATAGGGTTGCAATCATTGTTATTTTAGTAGTCGTGTAGCCGTCATTCTTAATAGAATATTTATCTTTTTCATCATTTATTCTACCTTTGCACCAACAATTGGTATCTAGAGTTCCGGTTCAGATTCATTGGGAAACACGGGAAACACGAGTGAACGTGAGGTCTTGTGTGTTTGATTTTGATTCTTAGATTCGTGTTGAATCTTGAACAAAATCTGATCAGAATTTTAATTCTGTGGGTTGGGAAACACTGTGTGAGAAATCTGAGTGTATTGTGCAAGGTAGAAGATGAACGGAAACGGCAACATGAACACCAAACTTCCAGTATTTGATGGTAAAAACTGGAATCGTTGGATGATCCAAATGCGTGTACTATTTGGTGCTCAAGATGTTCTAGATCTTGTCACTGATGGTTATGTTCCAGTAGCAGCAAATGCAACAGATGAACAGAAAAACGCGCAGAAGGAAGTAAGGAAGAAGGATCAGAAAGCATTGTTCTTCATTCATCAATGTGCGGATGTAAATGTGTTTGAGAAGATTGCAGATTCAACAATAGCAAAGGCTGCGTGGGACACACTGGTGAGATGTTATGGTGGTGACGCATCAGTGAAGAAGGTGAAGCTTCAGTCCTTGAGAAAGCAATATGAGAATCTCAACATGAAGAATAATGAGAAAGTCTCTGAATACATCTCTAGAATGATTCTGATCACTAATGAGATGAAGGCGTGTGGAGAAACTCTTTCAGAAGAAACAATCATGGAGAAAGTATTGAGATCTCTTACTCCTCAATTTGATTACATTGTGGTAGCAATAGAACATTCCAAAGATCTGAGCACCATGAGAATTGAAGAGCTGCAGAGCAGTCTAGAAGCGCAAGAGTTGCGTTTGAATGAGAGAACTTCTGAAAAGGAAGTAGAGCAGCAGGCTCTGAAAGCAACTTCTGATAGGAGGTATCAGAAGCAGTCAGAAGCCAGGAGAAGATCTGATGGTGGTCAGAAGTCAGAAAGCTCAACCTCTGATAGACAAAAGAATGCTCAGAAGGGAAAAGAGAAGTATGACAAGAAGAAGATCCAATGTTACTGTTATAAGAAGTTTGGTCACTTTGCTAGAGATTGTTGGTCAAACAAGGAGAGAAAATCAGAAGAAGCAAATATAGCCAGAAGTTCTGATGACGAATCTGTGCTATTGATGGCTTCTGAATCTGATAATATGGATCTGATAGACTGGTGGTATATGGACACTGGCTGTTCAAATCATCTTACTGGAAACAAGAAATGGCTAGTTGACTTTGACTCTGAAAAGAGGACAAAGATCAGATGTGTTGATGACAAATATCTCAATGCAGAAGGTATGGGAAATGTCAGAGTGACTCTGAACAATGGGAAAACAGCATTGATTCAGAACGTGTGGTATGTACCTGGCATCAGAAGCAATCTGATGAGTGTGGGACAATTATTTGAGAAAAGTTTTTCAGTTACCATGAAGGACAATCTTCTGAAGCTGTATGCCTGCAATCAGAAGCTGATTATGGAATCAGAACAGGGAAGGAATAGAACATTCAAGGTGAATGTCAGAACTGCAGACTCAGAATGTCTTAGTGCAACATGTGCTGAGAAGGAGAGTGAGCTGTGGCACAGAAGATTTGGTCATTTGAATTTCAGAAGCTTAAAACATTTGAATTCAAAGAAGTTGGTACATGGAATTCCTGCAATTAAGAAGCCTGAAAAGTCATGCAAAGTTTGCATGGAAGGAAAACAACCACGATTGCCATTTGCGTTAGAAGTTGCTCCAAGAGCAAAACATGCCTTGGGAGTTGTACATTCTGATGTGTGTGGTCCATTTCCAGTAGCATCAATTGGAGGGAATAAGTACTTTGTGTTGTTTGTTGATAAATTCACAAGAATGACATGGGTATCCCTTATTAAATTTAAACATGAGGTGTTTGATGAATTCAAGAAGTTCAGAATGAAGGCTGAGAATCAGAGTGGTCAGAAGTTGAAGATTCTTAGAACTGATGGTGGAGGTGAGTATAACTCCAAAGAGTTCCAGAAGTTCTGTGAGGATAATGGAATTGAGCATGAGGTTACTGCTCCTTATACCCCTCAACACAATGGTCTTGCTGAAAGAAGAAACCGTACTTTGCTTGATATGGTGAGAAGCATGCTAAAGGAGAAGAAGCTTCCTCAGAAGCTCTGGGGAGAAGCTGTTGCCACTGCAACGTATGTACTCAACAGATGTCCTACGAAGAAGTTGAAGGAAATAGTTCATATGCAGAAGTGGACTGGAGACAAGCAAAGTGTTAGTCATCTGAAGGTGTTTGGTTCTGTTTGCTATAAACATGTTCCAGAAGCCAGAAGACAGAAGCTGGATGATAGAAGCAAAGTGATGATTCTGATAGGGTACCACAGTACAGGTGCATACAAGCTCTATTGTCCAGAAACCAATAAAATTGAATTCAGCAGAGATGTGATTGTGAAGGAATCAGAAGTTTGGAATTGGGATAAGTCTCAATCTGATTCTGATGTTAGAACTTCTGAAGAAAGGTCAGAGTTAAGAATTTTTGAAGTTGGAGTAAACTCTGACGTTGATTCTGACTCTGATAGTAATTCTGACTCTGGAGAAGACTCAGAAGATGAAGGTGACTCTGATGATCCAGACTCTGATGGTAATCCAGATTCTGGTGGAAATTCAGACTCTGAAGATGGCCAAGACTCTGAAAATATGCCAGATCTTGAAGATGGTCAAAGCTCTAGAGGAAGTCAACCATCTGAAGCTGGAAACTCTGAAGCTCAAGACTCTAAACAAGTTCAGAGACCACAAAGAATCAGAAGCGTTCCCAGAAGATTTGCAGAATTTGACATGCTGCAAGACACTGAAGTAGACTCTGAAGGAGAAGTTATTCAGTGTGCCATGTTAGTAGACTCTGAACCTATAAGTACAGAGGAGGCTCTTAAGCAGAAGCTCTGGCTGAAGGCCATGAAAGAAGAACTTGATGCTATAGAGAGAAACAAGACTTGGAAGCTGACAAAACTTCCAAAAGACAAGAAAGCCATCAGCGTCAGATGGGTTTTCAAGCAGAAGTTAAAGCCAGATGGTTCAATTGGCAAACATAAAGCAAGGTTGGTAGCCAGAGGATTCCTACAGAAACCTGGGCTGGATTATTCTGAAGTGTTTGCACCTGTAGCAAGACATGAAACAATCAGAATGGTGATTGCAATAGCTGCTAACAGGAATTGGCCTCTGATGCATTTAGATGTAAAATCTGCATTTCTGAACGGTCCATTAGAAGAAGAAGTTTACGTGTCACAACCTCCTGGATTTGTGAAAAAGAATCAGGAAGGGATGGTGTACAGATTATACAAAGCTCTATATGGATTGAAACAAGCGCCCAGAGCTTGGAATCAGAAGATTGATTCATTTTTCAAGAAGCAAGGCTTTCAGAAATGTGAGATAGAGTACGGTGTCTATGTTCAGCATACTTCTGAAGGCAATATGACTCTGGTATGTTTATATGTTGATGATATACTATTGACTGGAAGTTCTGAACAGGAGATAGCCAAGTTGAAGAAAGTTCTGATGAATGAATTTGAAATGACTGATCTAGGCAAAATGACATACTTTCTAGGGATGGAGTTCAGATATTCTGAGAAAGGTATCATTTTGCATCAGCTCAAGTATGAATTAGAACTTCTGAAGAGATTTGATCTGAAGAATTGTAAGATGGCTGTCACACCTTCTGATACAAATCAGAAACTGGATTCAGACTCTGAAGGAAAGGATGTGGACGCTACAACCTTCAAACAGTTGGTTGGTTCTCTGAGGTATCTGTGCAATACCAGACCTGATACTTGCTACTCTGTTGGGATGGTTAGTAGGTTCATGAGTAAACCTAAGTGGTCCCATTACCAAGCTGCTGTCAGGATTCTGAGGTATATCAAGGAAACTCTGAAGTATGGAGTGTTGTTTCCTTCTGGAAGAAAGGATGAGTCAGAACTTCTGAGTTATTCAGATTTTGATTGGTGTGGAGACAGAGTTGACAGAAGAAGTACATCTGGGTACTTGTTCAAATTTCTGGGAGGTCCCATTTCTTGGTGTTCCAAGAAGCAACCTGTTGTGGCGTTATCAACATGTGAAGCTGAATACATTGCAGGTGCTGTTACTGCATGCTAAGCTGTGTGGATTCTGAATCTGTTGCAGGATCTGAAGATTAAAATAAACAAACCTCTGAAGCTGATGATTGACAACAAGTCTGCAATCAATCTTGCCAGAAACCCAGTGCTGCATGGGAGAAGTAAGCATATTGAGACCAAGTATCATTTTCTGAGACATCAAGTTCAGAGTGGAGTGTTAGAAGTTGTACACTGCAGCACTCAGAAACAGTTGGCAGATGCTCTGACGAAAGCTATCAAGACTGATCAATTTCTTAGACTAAGGGATGGAATTGGTGTTACAAGTTTTGATGGAATATGAATTAAGGGATGGTATTAGAAGTAATTCATATTAGTAGTACTATTTTCTTAGCCCCTAAGTTTGTTAGAGGGTATTTTAGTATTTTATTTTATTCTAGTAACCCTAGTTTTTAGCTTATAAATAGGGTTGCAATCATTGTTATTTTAGTAGTCGTGTAGCCGTCATTCTTAATAGAATATTTCTCTTTTTCATCATTTATTCTACCTTTGCACCAACAGAAACTTATATGCGGACACTTTTGATCCAATATCTTGTTTGTTTATTTATTTATCAAAAAAAAAAATGATAACAATCACTTTTGTTTGTATTCAAATGTGCCTTTTACTAAAAAAAAAAAACACATTTCATATTATTTTTTAATATAAAATAAATAAATAAAGCCCAACCCAAAAAATATAAAATAAGATAAGACGATAATAAAGCTATGAAACTTCAATTTTCATAGCCATTCATTCATTACTTTTAGGATAAGATATATAAAAACATCTCCACTCAAATCCAATATCCAATTCAACACATTTTCACACAAAAGAAACAATGAAAACTCTGATTTTTGCATCAAACTCATCTTTCTATTTTTTAAAACAATCTCCAATATTGAAACAAAAAATATTTCCAAATTTTCACCCCAAAGGGCTCTTCAACATTCCATTAACCACATTGAAGACGCAAGCTAGTGCCAAAGGCTTCTCCAACACAAGACCAACAGCATCATCAAAAACAAATAAAACTAAGGATGATGTCATCATGACTATGAAGAAGAATCCCAAGAATAATGATGATGATGAGATTACTGAGGTAGTTATGTATAGAATAATAGGTAGAATATTGTTTAGTGTTTTAGTTCCAATGGGAATAGGGTTAGGATTTTTGCATCTTTATGGTGAGTTAAAGGATAGAGAAATATGGAATGCTCCATTATGGATACCATTTTTGACAACACTTATAACATTTGGAGCTTCTGCACTTGGAATTGCATATGGTGTATTGTCTACTAGTTTGGATGAAGAAAGGGAAGGTTCTTTGCTTGGCTTTCAAGAACTTGAAAAAAATTGGGTTGAAATGTGGCAACAAGAGAATGTAAGTGATGATTAATCAAACTCATACCATTATTATTATTGTCATATTAGGTGAATAAACATATTTGTTTGTGTTGGGCTATATTAATATTTATTTTGCAACTTGTAATTGTAATGTACTAGTAATTTAAGTTGACATTTATAAAAGAAAATGAAAATTAGAGTTTCAATTTTGCTAGATGAATGCGTATCTTATAAGAAGAAGAGAACACTAAAATAAGTTGGGCCAAATGAGGTCTTAGCATCCCTTTCTAACTAATTACACCTCATTTAAGCATACTGATTTTACTACAATAAATAAAATAATGAAACACAATAAGAGGGAGTTGGTTGTGACATTGAATCAATTTCACTCAAAACTTGCTTCTCATGTCTCTGTTGTTGAATATAGGACTGATCTAAATGTTTAGAGTCTAAAATAAAATTGTTGTGAAACATTTTAAAATAAGAATTAAAATTGGTGACAATTTCTCTACACATCATGAATAGTATTATTATTTTTAAAAAAAACTTTTTACTCTAAAGATAGTTGTATCCAACTTTTTATATAGAATAAATAAGAATTCACCTAAAAATGAAAATGTCAAATTTTGATGCATTTGAAGATTAAAATTAAATAGAGGAGAATGTGTGGCTAATCCCAACCCTAAGAATAGACCACCGTCTAGGGTCTCAATTTTCATTACTGTACAATAAAATTTATTCAATTATATAACGAAAAAATCAATTGTTTTTAAAATAATTTTATATGATACTTAATAAATAACATATTTGATTGATTAATTTAGAATTACTCTCAAGAAATTTTGCGACGCTTTTTTGTTTGAAAAATAAATGTTAAGTAAAATTAATTGTAATAATTTAATAATTAGTTTATGTTATATGGTGGAACGAAAAAAAGGAGGTGTTGAGAGAACTTTCAATGCGGTGAAAAAAGTTTTAGGTACCATAGAGTAGGGAGGACCCGCAAGTTAGCACCCTAATGTCTACGTTAGTAAAGTTAGATAGATTTAGTTTGAGAGTGACAGTGACATAATACTTATAATTGAGTCTTCCTCCTTAAGCCTTTGGCCGACACAAAATGGTTTCCCCCTAATTGATTGTTGCTACTTGGGGAAGCAAAGACTATATTGTCCAGATTGGTCTTAATTATCATCTTGGACTTCCTAGTAAGATTTTGGCTTATGGAAGTGGAAAACTCTAGTAAGTTGGAGCAGATTATCTCAAGAACATGCATGTTAAATGACACTACCCGTGACCCTAAGTCTGAAGGCAAAAATGACTTTTTAAAAGTACTTGAGTACCAAAGTGAATTGAGGTTTGACCAGGTTAGGTGATAGTATGAGTATGCTTTGTAACACCCTCTTTCTATACCCCCAAAATAAACAATTAAATCATTTAGGCACTTAATAAAATTCCATCAGAGTATAATTATAACATGGTATAAAAGAGGCGCATCACATTATCATCGAAACGAAACATAAATAATACCTGCTCATAAAGATATGTAACAAAAGGGGTAAATCTCAACTAAAAACAAAGCATAACACTTAAAACCCACATATCAACATTTAGAATAAAGCGGAAACATCTAAACATTGAAATAACTTCATTGACATAAACATTCTATACATCATTCAGATTAATTCAATTCATCAGTTAAGTTTACAAAACATTCAGCAACAGATACATACGCAGATGTATCACAAAAGAATCAAAACAATTCCTAACTATTCAGTGTTACATATCAGAGTCATCTGACCAAAAGAAATGAAGACTCGCTTCACAAAAGACCTCCAGCATCCTACTCTGTAATGCCTCATAGAGCATTATAAAACAGCAGAAGGGTGAGAAACATTATCATAACAAACAATGCATAAAATTATATATCATAAAACACAATTATAACATACACGAAATTCACATTTCTCACCACAACTTGTTACAATACATCACAATATACACGTACATAATCAATCACATTCACCAATTCATGCTTCAGAATTCATAGCATTTCACTTAAACATTTACAATTATGTTCAATTCACCAAAACATCATGTAAAGATGATAATGCAACTCATAGAGACCGACTCACGACTCTATGCAGATGCAAATGCGATACCGACTCGTTCAGCAGGTTCAATTGAATAACCAAAATGGAACCATCGCTTGTTACCGAAGTAACTCCCCGTCGGGCCTACGATGTTCACCCATCGCTCACACCCCACATGGGCACATGATGTTTCAGGATTGCTCACACCCTACACGGGCACACAATCTGGTTCCTCGCACCCCACAAGGGCACACAACTGTTCTGCAGATTCTCCACGGAATTAAAATAAACCATCGCTCACACCCCACTAGGGCACACGATCGTTTCTGCAGATCCTCCTAGGGATCAAAGTAACTAAACCATCGCTCATACCCCACAAGGGCACACGAGGTTTCTGCAGATCCTACGCGGGATCAGACACACAAGAATGCAATCATGATGCTGCACATGCAACACGACTCAATACACTCTTAAATGCACTCATGTTTACAAACATATTCAAGCATCCTACACATCATACAAGTACATACAATTTTGCACATTCACATCAATATCACCATGCAATTCCATTTAATTCGAACAATTGCACAAAATTGCCAAACGGCGACATACACATTCCACAATTCACAATCTAGGATTCACGCTATACGGCTACCCACATCACAATATAACTTGGCATGATAGATGCCTCGAGCAAGAAAATAATCAAAGTTAAGTCGGAAACCCGACCTCGAATGGAAACATTAAAGAAAACACAATCTGCCACGTTCGCCACCTTCTCGCTTAGCGAACTCCTAGCGAGTATTCGCTACTTGTTCGCCTAGCGAGCAAGCTCGCGAAGGCAAACAGAAGCCTCTGACTTTGTTCGCTACCTCGCTCGCTCAGCAAACCCCTAGAGAACCTTCACTACCCCCATTCGCTACCAGCGGACACCACAACATGCATTCTGTCTAAGTCTGGGACCATTCGCTACCTATTCGCTACTGCTCACTTAGCGAACGTTCGCGACCAGCTCGCCTAGCGAACAACTAGTGAGTGTCTGCGAACCAGAAATTCCTCACTGTTCAGAATTTCCCAACCTCTCCAAAATCGACCAATTCTCATCAAATCAGATCCAATAGCCTTAGTCTATCACACCCTGACTATTCTACATCACTTACATCGGATTCTACCCGATAAAACATCCGTTCTACCGATTAAACTCATTATGCCCTAAAATGAAAAATGATCAAAACTCTTCTCAATCCAAAACAAAACCAATAAGAACACACATAATCATACACATTGCAAGAATTATAAAGTTTCACACTCTTACCAGATCAATCGAAAGCTTAGAAGTGGATCCTTGATGATTCTAGGTTTTTCTCCTCTTTTCTCTTCTCTTCCTTTCTTTCTCTTCTTTTTCTTTCCTCTTGGTTTCTATTCTCTCTATTCTTTCTCTTTTCCACGTATACTCTTTCTACTCTATTTCTCTCAAAATAACTACTAATCAAGGATTATCTAAAACACCCTCTAATTAATTCCCCAAAACTCTCCAAATAATAAAATACTACAACATACACATATAACATATTATCACATAATTCCACAATAAAATAACAATTAACCTATAAATTAAAAGACTCAACAAAATAATGGAAAATTCAGAATCAGGGCGTTACAACTCTCCCCCGCTTTAGAAATTTTCGTCCTCGAAAATATTACCTGATCCAAACAACTCCGGATGCGACTCTCGCATCTTACTTTCCAATTCCCAAGTCATATCGCCTTCTGCAGCACCTCCCCATGCTACTTTCACAAGCGCGAGATCCTTGCCTCTTAACTTCTTAATATCTCGATCCAAAATTCTAATTAGCAAAGCTTCCACTGTAAGGTTATCTCTTACTTCCACCTCGTCCATAGGGATAACATGTGACGGATCCGGAACATACTTCCGAAGTTGCGAAACATGAAACACATCATGCAAATTCGAAAGATTCAGAGGCAATGCCACACGATAAGCCACATCACCAACTCGTGCGATAATCTGATACAGACCGATGAAACGAGAAGTCAACTTCCTCGACTTCAAAGCACGACCCACACCCGTAACTGGCGTAACTCTCAAAAACACATGGTCGCCCTCTTGAAATTCAAGATCCTTCCTTCTCTTATCATGATAACTTTTCTGCCTACTCTGAGAAGCTCTCATCTTTTCTCGAATCAACCTCACCTTCTCCGTCGTCTGCTGTACCAACTCCGGTCCAGCCACCGACCTCTCACCATTCTCATGCCAGCACAAAGGTGTTCGACATTTTCGACCATACAAAGCTTCAAATGGAGCCATACCGATACTCGAATGAAAACTGTTATTATAGGTGAATTCAATCAACGCTAAATAACTATCCCACGCACCACCTTGCTCTAGCACACAAGCTCGTAACAAATCTTCCAACGATTGAATTGTCCTTTCGGTTTGACCATCTGTTTGCAGATGATAAGTCGAACTCAATCTCAACTGTGAACCCAAAGACTTTTGCAAACTTTCCCAAAACCTTGAAGTAAACCTTGGATCTCTATCCAATACAAAGTTCTTAGGAACTCCATGCATTCACAATCACCCGAACATAGATCTCAACTAACTTCTCCAAAGGATAACTAATATCAATCAGAATAAAGTGAGCAGATTTAGTAAGTCTATCAACAATAACCCAAACCAGTCAAAGAAGCATCACAATATACCACAAAAGGTTCTGTAGGATTCGGCAAAATCAAGATCGGCGTTATTGTCAATCTTCTCCTTAACTCCATAAAACTCTTCTCACAATCAACATCCCAAATAAAAGCCTTTCCCTTACAAGTTAATTGCGTTAACGGAAGTGCCAACTTCGAAAACCCTTCAATAAATCTCCGGTAATAACCTGCCAAGCCCAAAAAGCTTCAAATCTCCGTAACTGTTCTAGGTGTCTCCCATTGCATTACC